TGATGCCAGGGAAATTGAATATGGAGGAATCCTAAAGCAAAAAAGAGATGGGAAAGATGACATAGTTCGATTCACCTCAGGAACCTGGAATGATACCCAGAAAAAATACTCTACTGTAAAAAAAGAAATGCTCAGCATAGTCCTTTGCATCACTAAATTTCAAAGTGATTTGATAAACCAACATTTTACTCTCCAAATTGATTGTAAATCAGCCAAAGAGATTTTGGAAAAAGATGTGAAAAACTTGGTTTGAAAACAAATTTTTGCTAGACGGCAAGCTATTTTATCGGTATTCGATTTTGATATTAAATATATTAAAGGATCTGATAATGCTTTGCTAGATTTCTTGACCAGGGAATTCTTACAAGGTTAACTAATTAAAGATGACCGACAGAAGACTTCATCTTCCTCTAAATCCTAATTCCAGGCGCCCTAAAAGGACTAACGAGTCCATTCCAAGATCTAATTATGAGATCGAAGCAAGCTCAAGGACTAATCAGTCTCCATTAATGTCTCCCTTAATTAGAGAATCATCTCCCGCTATGGAAGAGGCTAATTCCAACCAATACCTAACTAATTCATCAGATTTCGTGACAACTATCTCAAGAGAAGAAGTCGCCGCCGTCTCCACTCATGTCAACCCAGAAGGAGCCCTTCAACACCTTGCCCTCTCTATCCTAGATGGGCATCATTTCTCCACACCGGGTTTGCTCGGATTCAGCATTATTTTAGGGATCTGAATAAGTCTGAACTAGCTTATTCCAAGCTAGTAATTGTTAAATTTATATCTCTGTCGTCTTGGGGCAACGCAAGCAAGCCGAAATTTATCACTAAGCCTATTGATAAGAGACCCAAAATATTCAATTACTGAGATTATCAAGACGCTTGGTATAGAGTATTCCTGTTGCAAAATTCTGTTTTGAGGCATTCATGGTTCATCCGGTTCTCCGAAGATTTTCAAGGCCCGTACCTTGACTGGGCATATGTTTGGTGGACCTCTTGGGGAGCTTCTGACGATATCTTCCCTCACCAAGAGCTCATGGACAAATATAGAGCCTTTGGAAAAGGAAGAGCTTATTTGGAATATGAGCATGTAAAGCAGTTCAAGTTTTTCAAAACCTTTCTTCTCCCCTGGATTTTGAAATGGAGTTATCACTTGGATATCTCTTGGTTGCCCCTAGCTATCGAACGAAAAATTGAAATAAAATGGTGGGACAAATTTGATCTTACCGATATCCTCAAGCCTACCGCTGAAGAAGACGACACCTTTCAGTCCATCTTCGAATCCTATATGGACAAGCTTCGAAGCAAGTTTCCAGACTTGGACCCACTAGAACTCGAAGAAATGTCTTTACGAATGGCTGAAAAGATGAAGGAAAAAAGTAAAGGAATCTCAAAAGACCTCGAGACGAAAAGTGTCCACTCTCTCAGCCCGCACCACAGTCGAAACATTGTTTGAAGATTCCATCTCATCTGAAACAGTAAAAGAATTGACAGTTGTTCCTAATAGGACAAGAAGGTGATAAGGAAGCATCTCAATAATTAAGATGCCGCAGTAAGAAAAGATAAAAGGTATCTTAATTATAGATGCCTTAGCGATAAGATCGAATAAAGGTGCCTCTATAGAAAGCTCGGCCACCGCTATATAAACCACTCTCCTCCCATAACAAGAATGCAAAATTTTGGGTGTAAAATTCATAAGTCCTCTAGTCTTATTTGAGTATTGTTTTCTGAGTGCTTTTGAGTCGAGTGTTGTATTTGTGAGAGCGTTTTGTAATCTTTGTAAAGGCATCTACTGTTGTGCTGTGTGTGCTATATCTCTGTAAGTATTGTTAAGATTTCTGATAATAGTACAACTGGACTATCCCAAAGATTGCACCATCCGAAATATATAAAAAAAGGAATATTCAATTTAAAAACAGATCTGAATATTAGAACTGTAGAAAGAACCATTGCCCTAGCAGAAAGCTTCTCCCTAGAAATGTCAAAATAATTGAAGTACTTGATTGAATAGTAAACTACAAATGATTTTTAAGTGGGCATATAGATAAACTAATGGATTGGCTGACTCATTAGCAAAACAAGGGACAACTAGGTAAGATTTCTTCTAGGGTCAAATCTAATGTAATGGTCAAAAAATGGGTTGAGGCAAACTACCAGCCTCAATTAAGGTTTTGACTGGTTGTTTTATTTACTGTATATAATTCATTCTTTTATTCATTTAATAAAACATCATTACCAATTAAAAACGTGGACACAAAAAACCAATTGGACTCCCATTATGAGCAGCCTATTCATCAACACTTGACCATAAAAACAAGATTCTAAATCTTAGTTTTGCCATAAAATTTTATTATGGGTAAAACCAATCTGAACCCAACTTGACTCACCAAAGCCTTACCCCAACAATATGAATTGGCTGCATGAATCCTGTTTTGCGTTCCACTCATAGCTTCTTTGCATATGTAATGGTGTAATCACACTTTTAGACTTCTGTTTAAATGTTCCTAATAAATTTTTCTGTGGCTTATCAAAAAAATCATTTCTCACTACTTCAACCAATGTGTTCTTTGGTCTTCCTCCATCTATTTTAAAGCCCACAATTTGCACCAAGTCCTGGTTGAAATCAAACCCAGATCTCAAGTTTCCATATTTTCATGTGATAAAAGATTGGATTACTTCTCAAGAAGAAAAAAAACAAGAGAGAGAGTGATTGCATTCATTACATAAGACTTGTTAAGAATTATCACATTGTTGGAAAATTTTACATTGTTCAAAATTGAACAGAGATTTAGACCACCAGCTGCACCATTAAAAAAAAAGGGAAAAAAAAACAAACACTAGTAAAGAACTATTTTAAAAAAGAAAAGGAAAAAAACCTCTCAACTGTGATTTCACCAAATTATCTGCAGTTGAGTTCATCTTTATAGGGACCCACCTAATTTGCATCCTTTTTCTGGCCAAAACTTCTCTAATCTCGTCTAGCAGATGCCCCAACTGCTAAGAACTGCTACCAACATTCTTTTTGGCCTTCCCTTGAATCTTGTAGGGCCTGTAACTTCAAACTTGTGCTCCAAGCAGTCCCTTTGCACATGCTTGAACAACCTTAGAAGCTTGTTTTGTTCCTGCTTGACCCAATTAAGAAACCTTTTTTTTCCTTATATACACACATACAAATATATTTTACTAATGGGTCTCAAGGAAAGATGTGTTGAAATCAATAGCTTAGCAAAAAGAGAGGTGGGTAAAGAAGGTTTACATAGAAGCAGCTCTATGCCAATTTTAGGCCCTGTTCTGCAGGTAAATATGCATGGGAAAGTTGGTCAATGGGTAACTTTTTCCCATTGACCAACTTTCCCATGTTCTTTTTGCATTAAGCAGCGGACCCCATGGTAAAGTTACCCTTACTTTCCTGGGTAAAACTTACCCATCTCCTAGGTGGGGGTAACTTTCCCACCTGGGAGAAACTTTAACAAAACATGATGGGACCACTTTGCCCATTTTAATACTTACTTTTTGTGGGTAGAAATGTCATTTTATTATTTACCTGAGAATCCTGAAAATCAAAAGAACATGGGTGAGTGCACTTACCCAGGTAAGATGCATTGTTACAAATGAACAAGGCCTTAAAGTTCTTGAATCTTGAGAGGGCATATTTTGTTGAAAATCCTCTAATGAACACCATGTAAGGGCCTTTTATTCAAAAAATAGAAAAGAGAAAGAAAAGAAACGTATACCCTCAAAAGAAGGCAGTAAGCATATATCTGAATTATAAAGATGGCTTTAGGTGGGGAAAAAATTGCATGTCATTTCTCATCATGAACTATTAAATTCCAGTCCCCTTACCCCAGCTTATACATCCAGAAAATAAACTTCACTCTTTTTCTTGTGTTGGCAGATTCAAGGGAGAACTTTGTTTTCTTGTCCCAACTCTTCGTCAGGTGGCCCTTAATTGTTTCCTCCAGCATATATCTGTTTTTGAGAATTATTGAGAATTACTGACACAAACTCCCTCCTAACCAACTCTCCTTTTCCCTTCCTATCCTCCATAAAAAGGTCTAACCTCTTCTAAAAGATCTGGAACTGCATTAAGCCCTTTAAAGATATCTTGGGGATCTTTATTTTCTAACCACCTTTTCATATCATTACTTATATAGAGCTCAATCTCCAATATTAGCTCTTACTTGTACTTACCTAGCTCTACATTTCACCTCTCTTGCTTCTCCTTCAACATTTGTCATCTGCAATGAAATGACCCATTCACCCATCTATTTTAAAATAAGGGGCAGCAAAATCTACACACATTGAAAAATTTTGTTCATTCCAAATACACATCTAAAAGCCTGAAAGAGAAAAGCATGGGACTAGTGGAATCTCTCTCTCAATAGAGTAGGCACATGGCATGATATGGATTCGCTAGAAAATAGGAGTTCAATCAGCTAACCATTTGAAACTTGCAATGTTAAGGGCCACATCAATAAACCCTTCTTACTAAAAAATCCCCAAACATTCTCATTGATGAAGACATGCTTTCAGCCTTTCACCCACCTCTTTGACAAACATCCTAAACAGCATTAAAAACCTTCCATGCAGCACCAAGTGCCACTGGCAGAGAACTAGCATTAACTCCGAAAAGGCAAATGTATATAGCGCTGAACCTAGAAAAAGCATTGCTACCAAGCCCATGAATGCCATGAAATCATTTGAAATGATTATAAACTGCAGCATCATGCTTCTTCAAGTTATCATTTACTGCAATTAATCAGAATAACGGTGTAACACATGAAAGTCAATCGTATTAAAAAGCGAAACTAAAGGAACAATATCCATTAAGCCACCAGGAGCTCTTCTGTGGGTTAAAGATACTTGAATCCTACAAATGAATATCTTGATACCAATTGCGTGATATTGTTTGTAGGGAGCAGAGCAATATCGAAAAGCCCATCTATGACCTATACAGGTAAAAAAACACTTGCAAAATTGAAAGGACGAGGAATTACCTTCAACTTATGTAGAAATTCGAAAAAGAAACCCAAGCTAGAAAACCTTCTTCAGTCGATCCTTTCGTGAGAGAGAGAGAGAGAGAAAGTGAGCAAAATATGCGAAAAAAGTACAAACACGATCTTGGTTCCTGGAGCTTCGAGCTCTCTGCCCCTCTCTCGAACTGATCAAACGAGATTATCTACCAAAAAACAAGACTGTTTACCAAAAAAAAATCGAGATTGAGAGGAGTTCGCATCAGCACCCCACAGCCGGGCGCCCCAAACAATCGAACGCCGACAATTGTCCTCCCGCACGAACTCCTTCCTTCACGCGTGCGGAGCTAACGGGACGGACGGACGTTAGTGGAATTCACGTCTGAGTTCACCCCAATCACAATACGGAGTACGGACAATGGGGGCTCACCGACGCCACTGTCACCCTTCTCCAATTTTAAAACCTCTCTTAACCCAACCCTATCTGACAGTTGACAATTGACACCTCAGTAGAGTAACTAGTTTTAGAACGAATATACCCTTTTATTCTCTCGACTCTCACAATATACACAATAGACAATTTCCCGCGTAAAACCCAGCTCCTTGTATTTCTCCTTAGAGCTGGATTTGGGTTTCACAACGTTGGTTTTCTCCACCAGCAACGAACGATCATTTCCCTCCACCATATAATCATTGTATTTTGGATGTCTCTTAAGGTTGTTGATGAAGGGAAATTTGGCCTGATCTCGCAATCACCCGACACGTGGCAAAAGCAAGCAATTCGGGGCAGTAGAGCGCCCAAAACAAGCACCGAAAGTAACGAAGTCCAAGCTCACTACTGAGCCCGAACTTCACCAAACCGGATTCTCTACTAGGAGCCCGAGCTCCCTACCAAGAACCCGAGCTCCCTACTGGAAGTCCGAGCTCCCTATTAAGAACCCGAGTTCCTTACTGAGAACCCAAGCTCCCTGCAAGGAGCCCGAACTATCTCGGGTCCTAAGCCTCACAAAGCCGTGACCCGAGCTAGCCCATGGCAGCTCGGAACACTCCCCAAACCGAACTCAAGACATCTTGCTCGCCACTCCAGCACTTCGCTTCCGAAACACCAGACTGGCCAAACGTACCTGACACCAAGGACGTCC